CATACAAAATTGGAAACCACTCCCTTTTCTCTTGGTGGGAACAGGGCTACAGTACTTCAGTAAGTAACTGACACTGTTCTCAGAAGCAGATATGATCGTTGGTTAATTGCTTTCCTTTCCTTTCTGAGTGGCAGACCTTAAAACTCTTGCTGGTTCTGAAACGTTAAGACATTTTCCCACCATCAGGGTCATAATTTCCTTTTATAGAACTGATTATTGATTTCTGTACTGGAACTTGATTCTCAAGTTCCCTCCTTAAATGAGGAAGTGGAAAAGTGGGAATAACCAAGAGTAACTATGAAACCTTTTTTTTTTTTAAGCAGTAAAAATGCATATTGCCACTTTTAGCTTATTTACAGATATTTTGGATCCTGATTTGTGTAGAATTAATGGATACTTTTTTCCCTGTCGACTCCCTAGGACTGTTGTCAGTGGGAATGGGGGACTAACATTAATTTGCATCTTCGAAATTTCAAGGAGCCAGGTGTTGGCAGTTCGAATCCACGAGCCGAGCCGCTCCTTGGAAACCCTGTGGGGCAGTTCTACTCTGTCCTATAGGGTCGCTGTGAGTTGGAATCAACTCAACAGCAACAGGTTAGATGTATTCAATTTTAATTATAAATGCAACAATAGAGGGATGAACCAAAATAGGTAGCACAGAGGCTAGTGCTGTTGTTTCTGCAGGGCTGTGATGAGTTGGGAGTAGGTCAAGAAAGATGAGTAAAATTTCAGTTTGAGACTAGTTAGCCAGAAGATGAGTGTTTAGTTAGTAAAATTGAGTTTTCTTTAGTTTATAAGTCTTCAGGTACTTTTTTCTCAAATGGTCAAAATGTAGATACAGTAGTACTTTACAGAGGAATTTCCTTATTTTTCTTCCTTGATGGTTGAGAATATTTAACTGTCTGTTGTGTGATTAGTCTCTGAATATTAAGTTACACTTCTATAAATTCTTCCAGTTTCTCAGGGTCATGGTTCTTTTTTCACAAAACTTATACCCAGTCTGTGGATAAATCCTTTTGGGCTCTACCTCAAAGTATATCTTGAAACTGACTTTATCTTATCCTCTCTACTGTTACTATCCTGGTCCAATCTGCCATTATCTTTCCTGGATTATAGCAACAGGATCCCCCTGAGTCCACTCTTACCACTCTTGCAGTCTGTCTCCACATAGCAGCAGAGTGATCCTTTTAAAATGTAAGTTGTCATTCTTGCTTGAAACCCTCCAGTGGCTTCTCATCTTTATCAAATTAAAAGCCAAAGTCCGACTAGTGGCCTATACCAAAAAACAAACCTATTGCCATTCAGTTAATTCTGACTCATAGTGACCCTATAGGACAGAGTAGAAATGTTCCGTAGGGTTTCTGATGATTGGCTGGTAGATTTGAACTGCTGACCTTTTGGTTAGCAGCCGAGCTCTTAATCACTATACCACAAGGGTTCCAGCGGCCTACAAGGCTCTTGGAAATAATTCTCTGACCTCCTACTTATTTCCTTGCCCTCTCTGCTCCGGTAGCACTGGCCCCCCTTCTGTTCCTAGAACACTCCAAGCATGTCCCTACTTCATAACCTTTGCTACAGCTAATCCTTCTGCCTAGAGTGGTCTTCCCTCAAATATCTACTTGGCTCACACCCCCAGGTCTTGCATAAAATGTCACTTTTTTTTTTTTTTTTTGTCAGTGAGGCCTTTCCTGACCACCTATTTAAAATTGGAATCTCCCTCCTTTCTGGCACTGTTGATTCTCCTTCTTTCCATTTTTCTCCGTAGCAGTAGCGTATTTTATTTATTTGTCTTTTTCTGCCCACTAAAATGAGATGACAAGAATTTCTTGTTTTTTTGTTCACTGCTCTTGCTGCACCTATAAGAATGTGTGACAAGTAGTATATATCCAATGAATATTTGTTGAATTAATAAATTCTTAACTAGCCAGATTGCAAAGAACATGCCTAGCTCTCCATGAAGATAAGTTCTTTATAGTGGATAGATTAGATAATTCATACCTATTTTAAGGGGAAGTGCCTGGGTCTTCACTGAAGTGAATTTGTTTTAGGAAAAAGTGATTGCAAAGTTTTAGTCTTATATACAGTATTATGCTTTTATGTTGCCTGATTATAGAAACCAAGCTGACTCAAATTTGCAAGACTTCCTGTAGAATTTCTGGTAAGAAAAGTAACACAGTAAATGTATGCTTACTTGCTCTTTAGACTTTACTTTTAGATTTTACTTCCTTAGATTTAGAATTCTTTCGCTGTGTATTTATATTATAATGTGACTTTAATTTGAAAATACAAAGAGGTGATTTCTCAGTGGAAAGCTGAATGGGAGTAGATTGACAGAATTTTTAAAAGGCTGCCCAGTAAGATTGGGTTAGATTAAATGGAGCTACTTTTATAAAGAAAATTCCCTCACACCCTTGAATTCTCTGTTTATATTTGAACTTAGAATTATAGTTGCCAATGCAGGACATAAATTTTACTCATTTAGTAGCCATAACAAAGAAAACAACTATATTTCTGGAATGGTTTAGATATAGGCCTGCCTAGGGCAGAGGAACTAGCCCTCCTGAGGCTCTTTCTAATCCCATGATTTTTTATAGCACTGTTGAGAGGGTAGTTAAATTATACAGGCAGTCTCCGGGTTACGAATCAGATCTGTTCCTAAGTGTGTTTAGTTAAATTATACAGGCAGTCTCCGGGTTACGAATCAGATCTGTTCCTAAGTGTGTCTTTAAGTCGAGTTTGTAGATAAGTCAGAACAGGCGTATACGGTTCTTTTTTACCTCATTTTAGTGCAAAAAAGGCTTCCAGCAAGTGAAGGTGATAGTGATGAAGAATTTGTTGCGAGCAGTGGTTGGTTCAGTCCTTTCAGAGTGAGGGCAGATTTACATAACATTAAAGGGCAAGTTTGAGTTGTCCGTAAGTCAGATGTTTGTAACCCGAGGACTTACTGTAAGTCATTGCAGGGTTCTTTATCACCCATTTTCATAAAATTAAAAATAATAAGATAATGTGTGTACTTGGAAAAAAAATGAACACAATTCAAAAAGGTAAGCTAAATCATGCTCCTGACCTCCAGCCCTCCAGCTCTGCACCCACCCCCGCCAATGTTATCAGTCTTTTAATCTTCCAGATAGTCCATGTTTTTGAAAAACATAGACAGTACTCACAAATATTTCTGTAAAACTATTCATATTCTGTACCTTGCCTTTTTAGTGTCTTTAGTCTTTAGTCATCTTTGCATATCAGTTCATATAGATCTGTTTTATTATTTTTAACTGCTGTGTAGTTTTCGTTTTAAGAATATGCCATAATAAAATAATTAAATGATGGCTATTATGTTAGTTGCATGCGTTTTCAGTTTTATGTAGGTAGATGTTAGCAGTAGAGTGTTGTAACTCTGGACTTGAAACTGTTTTTCACATGTTGTTAGGTGCTGTCTAGTCGATGCCTACTCATAGTGACCCTAAGGGACAGAGTAGAACTGGCCCCTAGGGTTTCCTAGCCTGTAATCTTTACGGGAGCAGACCGCCAGGTATTCTCTCTTGCAGAGCCAGCTGGTGGGTTAGAACCACCAACCTTTTGATTAGCAGCCAAGTGCTTAACGATTGCACCAGCAGGGTTCCTTGTTTCTAACACAGCCCTCTTCAAAGTTTTAAGTAGTCTCTGTTGTGTCATTGACTTAGTTTTACTGGCAGTGCACTATCTCAGCTTCATAGGCTTCTGCTCAGTTGGCTCTTCTTCGAGCCCTCTCTTCCTTCCTTCTTTGCTCCTGCCCCTTCCTCTTAATTTAAAAGAGTTTCTCTATCACAGACCACCCTTTCTAATCAGTGAAGTTACATTCTTTTGTTAAAAATCATTGCCTAGGAAATGGAAATATCCCAAATTAAACATTTTTTTTTTTTTTTAATATTTTATTGTACTTCAGGTGAAGGCTTACAGAACAGATAGTTTCTCATGTAACAGTAACACACATGCTGTTTTATGACATTGGTTAACAAC